GACAGTGGGTGATGTTCTAAACCCCTGGAGAGAAGGTCCTTTAAGAATGGTTAGTTTCAGAGGCCAGAGTGATTTAGTGGGCGGGCTTTGCCTTGCATGTGGTTGATCTGGGTTAGATTCCCTGCACCCGATATGGTCCCCTGGAATAATTCCCATCAAGAATAATTCCTGAGTGCAGAACCAGGAATAACCCCTGGGTATTGCTTGGTGTGGCCTGAAAACAATAAAGAAACTAAACAAGAATGGTGAGTTTCAGAGCCCAAGGCAAAGGGTGCACAGGCAGAGGGTCTACTTTGTCACTGTGATGTTGATCCTGATGCTCTTCACATGCACCAAGCATGAGCCCAGTAGCTCAGTGGCCTGGCACTCCTGTCCCTGCAGCGAAGTGTTTAACCTCACACATAGCGAAGTGTTTAACTTCACACATAGCCAGCTGTGTGTGAGCACTGTGACTAAGAAGATGTGACATTGCTGTGTCCAGGAATGCGGCCCCTGGCAAGCAGATGCATGAGTTTCACGGTGCTCCAACGAGCACTGCAACCAGAATGTATGTGAGCATAAGTAAAGGAGTGCAAACACTAAAAAACCAGTCAAACATGACTACTCTGTGTATGTTGTGTGTGTGTGTCTGTTGTGCAAGAGAGAGAAAAGGGGAGAGAGAGAGGAGAGGACAATGTTTGAGGCACTGCTTCTCAGAGCCCTCCATAATGACATTCTTGGTCCACTAAGACTTTGCTCTTGGAAGAAAGCCACTATGTGCTACCTATAATCTATATCATGAGATAATGTTCCTTTTAATTGAGGGAGGAGTGCTAAGGTCAGTTATCTGGAATTCTGTGCAGAAGGTATGTCTCTTCTCCTTTAATTATTTGTTTATTTTCATATGCACAAACTCATGGATTTTTATTTTATTCTTTATCTTTCAGTCTTATACTATTTTATGTATGCTTTTGCTTTTTTTACATTTTTCATCTTTTTTTACACCTGTGAACTGACATCCATCCTGCATACTGGTTCATGGACTGGAAAATTTTTAATTTAATTTAATTTTATTGGGTGGGGGGTTATTCGCCACACCCAGTGGTTCTCAGGAATAATCCCTGGCAGTGCTCAGGGATCATATGTGGTGCTGAGGATTGAATGGGGTTGGCAGCAATCAGTATTCAAGGTGAGCACCTTAACCCCTATACTATCATTCTGTCCCTTAGACTGGAAATTTTAATCAAGGTGATAGACCAGTGCTAGTACATACCTGTGGACTAGCATGAGTTCACAGACTGGTAGTTGAAGAATGCTGGCTAAACTATTCCAATTTGGGGCAGGAGAGATAGTAGAGTGGATAGGGCACTTGTCTTGCATGCAGCTAGCACCATTTCCATTCCTGGAACCCCACAAGGTCCCCTGAGTACTGTCATGAGTAGGCCTTGAGTGTTGATGGGTATGGCCCCAAAACCAAAAGTATAAAATAAAATAAATTATTTCAGACTGTTTATTGGGAACCCTTGCAGTTCCCCGCACTGCCCTTTTGACATATACCCATCATTCCGGTTCTTTTTTTTCTCTTCAATACTTTCATAAATTCTAAGACATGAACTCATCCTGTGTATTTCCTGCTTCAGTCACAGGCTGACCCAATTTTCCAGTAAAATTTGTAACTTTCCTTGATATATGTTACTGTCACTGTCACTGTCCTCCCGTTATTCATAGATTTTGCTCTCGCGGGCCCAGTAACATCTCCATTTTTTTTGAGACTTGTTACTGTGTTTGGCATATCGAATACGTAACGGGGAGCTTGCCAGGCTTTGCCGTGAGGGCGAGATACTTTTGGTAGCTTGCCAGGCTCTCCGAGGCGGTGGAGGAATCAAACCCGGGTTGGCCGGGCCGGCTGTGTGCAAGGCAAACGCCCTACCGCTGTGCTATCACTCCAGCCCGATATATGTTACTAGAGAACAGTATTAGAAATCAAGACCTGGGCATTCGTTGTGCTTATGTTTCCTGTGGTGTTATTGTTTCTGGACCCTCTCAGCAGACAGAGCATGAGTATTTCTTTTACTCAAACTTAAGTTTTCAGGCCAACAGAAAGGCTGAAATAGCAATTCAATAACAACTGTATATGCTACACCTAGATCCTTCTTTGTCTGGACAATTTGAAACATATGATAGATATCATGACATTTCATCCCTAAATACTTTGTCAAGTGTTTCAGGAATAAAGAAACTACTCTTATTTTAAACAATACAATTGCTGCATCTGAGGAAATGTTAACTCAGCAATAGTATCTAGCTATATTCTGCACTGTCCTCCCATTGTTCATCGATTTGCTCGAGCGGGCCCTGTAACGTCTCCCCGCACTGCCCTTTTGGCATATAGAATACATCACGGGTAGCTTGCCAGGCTTTGCCGGCAGGAAAGATACTCTCGTAGATTGCCGGGCTCTCCAAGAGGGGCAGAGGAATCGAACCTGGGCCAATCAGGTGGGCCATGTGCAAGGCAAACGTCCTACCTGCTGTGCTATTGCTCAGCCCAGCTATATCCTAATATTTCTAATTGGTCACAAATAACTTTTAAAAGGAAAAATCCAAGCTCTGATAAATATTTGTGCATTTTTGTTTGTTCTTTTCTCTGTTATTTTTTATTTGACTCTTTTACTTATTTTCCCTTATATCACAAAACAATTTTAAGAATATAGGTATGATTCTCTCTTCTTTGATAGATACGTCACACTATAGACCTATTTTCATATATCTTAAGACTTTCCCCATATCCTCTTTCACCTTACTTTTTCTTTCTCTCTTTCCTTTTAGTATCAATTTTGATGCATGGGTTATTTTTATTAGTTGTAGTTAATTTGTTATCATCAATATTTTCCATGTTGAAATTGGCCAGTGGGAACCTATCTATTTTATTTATTGGGCCATATGTTATGAATGTGTAAGGCACTTACTTGTTTCAAAATAAAATAAAATGAAAAAAGAAATACTTTTTAAACGTCATATCCTTACCCTTTATTCTGCACAGGTAGCTATTTTCATTAGTTTCTGATTTATTCTTTCTATATTTATTGTTTCAAAATAAACAGAAAATGTATACTCATACACATATATTTTATTTTACCATCTTCTACCTGACTGTAGCATGAAATAGGTATCAGTTCATATAGACCATTTCTGTTCTTTACATGACCGTACGAACAGTACTCCATTCTGTAGTATATCTCAGTTTATTTAACCAGTTCTCTATGAATAGACATGTAGGTTGGTTCAAATAGTTCACACCACAAATAATGCCACAGTGAATTATACTGTGAATCATGAACATTTGCTTTATATGAGACTCATTAGAAACAGAAATTATTTTTTCTTTGCTTTTTTTTTCCTTTCGCTTTATTGGGTCACACCCAGCAATGCACAAGGTTTACTCCTGATTCATGCACTCAGGAATTACTCCTGGTGGTGCTTGGGGGACCATATGGGATGCTGGAAATCAAACCTGGGTCAGCTGTGTGCAAGGTAAACGCCCTACCCGCTGTGTTATCACTCGAGCCCAGAAACAGAAATTCGTAGGCCCTACTCTGCACCTATAAATCAGAATGTGCATGTTAACAATGGCTCCCCACTTACACACACCCTGCCCACACAAGCACACTTGATTTATGTACAAATTGAAATTTTAGAAGTACTAGTTTATCAATCACAGGATTTCATGGAAAATACACAAAGAGAAACTATTTCATCAATCTTTTAGGTTGGGTTTTCTTTTTATTATTTATAGACCCAAATTGTTATTATTTTTTAATGTTTTGCCTTAATTTACATTAAGAGCTACATTGAAATTTACTGGCCTTCTGATTTTTAATTTTGCATACAATTTAACCATACTATGGTGATATAGGCTATCTCTATCATCTTGTGCTTTTGTTTTTGGTTTTGAACCACACCTGACAGTGCTCAGGGTTTAATGTCTAGCTCCTGATTCTGTGCCCAGGGATCACTTTTGCACTTATATAGGGTGCAAGGGATTGAACCTGGGTCAACTGTGTAGAAGGCAAAAACCTTCCTTGCTTCCTTTCGGATCCCATGTCGTCGTCGTCGTCCTCTTCTTCTTCTCCTTCTCCTTCTTCTTCTCCTTCTTCTTCTTCTTCTTCTTCTTCTTCTTCTTCTTCTTCTTCTTCTTCTTCTTCTTCTTCTTCTTCTTCTTCTTCCTCCTCCTCCTCCTCTTCCTCCTCCTCCTCCTCCTCCTCCTCCTCCTCCTCCTCCTCCTCCTCCTCCTCCTCCTCCTCCTCCTCCATGTCGATTTATTCTTGAGAACTTTCTTTTTTCTTTTTCTTTTCTTTCTTTTTTTAAATTTTTATCAGTGAGACACCATGAGATACAGTTGTAGACTTACAAATTTTTGTGCTTGGGCTTCAATTATACAATGATCAAGTACCCATCCCTCCACCAGTGCCCATTTCCCACCACCAAGGATCCCAGTATCCCTCCCACCCCTCATCCCCCCATCCCACCCTGCCTCTGTGGCAGGGCATTCCCTTTTGTTTGAGAACTTTCTTAACCTCCAAGTTATTGAGTCACAGGTACAATAGAAAACCTTCATGCCCTCAACAAGCTTCTGTGTTCCACATATCAAGTGAGATAGAATAATTAAGTATTTCTTTGCTTGAGTCTATTTATCTCCCTTTACTGTTTATCTTTAATTTACCACTCCTAGAAGTTCAGGACACATAGTCCCAGGCACAGCAATGGTTAAAGAATATATCCACTACCAACTACCTAACAAGAGATAATAAAGGAGTCTTATAAAGTCAGGTGATCTATCCACTGCCTGAAAAGGTACATCTTTCAGAAAGTCTCTATTTGCATTAAGAATAAGCCTGCTATCGAATGTTGATGGTGATAGTGAAGATTACAAAGTGATAATTCCCTGCTGAAGCAATAATATGAGACTGCATTCCAAAAAATAACTTTGTTACAACTCTGAGCAACAATGGAAGATGACATACCCATGGTGCATCCAAGACATCCTTCTTCACAAGGTATGCATCCCTCATAGTCTGGGTCCTGGACCTCACCTATACGTGAGAATTGGAAGAGAATTCACTAAATGGCAACACGCTAATTTCTGTGAAAATATGCTGCTGCAGAGTTTATTTTCCAGAAAACCATAGAGAAATTATGAAACTTAAAACCTGCCTTGAGGATATGTGTGTCACTCTTATTTTCCTCTATATTAATTTAGTATATTGGATCTGCTTGATTGGGTACAAATATAACAAAGGCTATATGGCATGTAACTAGTTTTGAAGGCAAGGTGGTATATCTTATTTATTAAAGAACATTCTGTTTCTGGAAACATAGAATTAGGTTAACATTGAATTAGTATAGATGAATATGCTGCATATTTTAAAAATATGTCCTCCTAAACACTTTTTAAAAGTTTTTTAAATCATGTAATACATTATTCAACGTAAGACAAAAAGAAAGGGAATGGTGCATCTAAATTGCTCTAGAAGCATCTCAGCACTCTCTTCAGCACCAGACCAGTTATCATTCTTCTTAACTTTTTCTTTGTTGGTTTCTTTCTCTTCTTTTACTTTTTGATTTTTGATTTTTTTGTTTACTAATTTTTTTCTTTTTCTATCTGTTCTTTTGTAGTTTTAGTGTTCTATTATTATTTTCGAATGTTATTTTTGTGGCATCACTCGTATACACAGACCAGAGAAAGTCTGAAGTATTCTTACAGGGAAGAAAATAAAGTCACTAAATGAATTTTGTCAATACTTCTCCTTTCACATAACAGAAGAAACTGGGCAGTAACAATAACACTCACTATTCACAGTACGTCTTTACCATTTTCAAGTACTTTTAGTAGATAGGACCCTTATTGGCCTCTCATAGCAACTGTTTTTATACTGTAGTTTTCCTTTCACAAAGCAGACATCAAGGCATGGGGCAATTAGGTTCATTTTGACCAGGGTCTTATAATTAGTCATGGGGAAGGAGGAAATTGTTGACCAGGACTTCCGGATTCTAATCAAACTTTTTCTTCTCTGCCCCCTGGCTACAAAGCCTCCAAGTAAGATCACTTTTGTTGTTGTTGTTGTTGTTTTTAGCTGCACCCCTATACTCTTGAATTGTGTCTGGGGAAACCCAAAGAAAGTTCAGGTCAAAGGAGAGAGGGAGTTCGCTATTATTCCTTCCATAAGACATGTAGTCACCCAGAGTTATTTAGGCTTTGACACTGAAGCCAGGAAAACAATACAACTCTGTGGGGGCAGCTTTGTATTGCATCCTAGTTCAAGGGCAAGTGCCCAGAGCAGTCTCACCTTTCCCACACTCTGATTTCTGGCAGGTGTGGTTGGTCGGTGCTATGAAGTAGCCTCTCCGGCATTGTGTGCAGCTGTTAGTACTGTGACACAGCTCACAGTTGTCTGGACAGGGCAGGCAGACATGTCCCTCTCCCGGGAAGCGACCTTCTGGACACCTCTCCAGACACTTCCCCTGGTCCAGGAAGCGCTCTTGGCCATGCTTATCTGAACAGAGAGGCAATAAAATTAGGAAAAGTGAGCATACAGAATGATCTGTGAAGCTAATACAACCCAAAAGATTTCACTAAAATAAAGATGTGATTTCATGCCTTTGTTCCTTAGGGACCAGAAGTATAAGACCAGATTTAATGAAAAATACAAGATGTATGTATATACTTGTAGTTAGAAATATTTCCTTGTTGGGAATCCTCCTTCAATATTTTTAATGTATTTGATTGAACAATGACTGCTCTCTGGGATGTCACTGCAAACGCCCAAACGACTCTCTGTACCTTTCTGAAAGTTACTGAGCTTCTATCAATGTTGGCTCTAAAAGGACGGTGAGCAGTGCCCGCAGCAGAAGGCTGTGGGAATTTGCTTCTGGCAGGAGCAGATAAATGATCACAATTAATTAACAAACATCAAAATTAATTAAAGAAGATTATAATCAGTTATAAATCAATATATTTTTTAAAACAGAAGATTAATAGGGATGCCCTAGGGGTTTCCTACTCCCACAGTGCTGAGCATTTTGTTTGTGTTTGAGGCATTCACCTCATCAAGGAGTCAGCTTTCCCATCTGCCTCTGCCTCTGCAGAACAGGTAACCTGCCTGATCCAGTATAAGTGGAGTCTCATGTTCACAGATGACATGATCTACTGCATGAAGATCCATAACCAATGCCCTTCAAGATGCAAAGCTGCCAAATTTGTGGTAAAGATAGCAAAAAACCCCTGCATTTTGTGAGTGCAGAAATGGAGTCAGTACAATATTTGATTGAACCAGACGACACTGTGAGCATTCAACTATGTTTAACCCTAAAGACTGTACTCTCAAAAGGTTTCAACTCATTTTCTTATGTAATTAAAGTTTTCTATCAAATTCAGGCACATCCTGGGGTTATGTGCTCAGAAGTAATTTTTTTTTTTTTTTTGGATAGCGATTTTAGGCCAAGAGGGTTTTCACAGGGCGTTTGAAAAAACATGACTGACATGTCCAAGCTCAACTTAGAACATTATCTTCTAAGAGAAGAAGAGTGTTTGGAAGATTTTGTAAAGTGTAGTTTAGATTCTACAACTGTAGCACTGTAGCACTGTCCTCCCGTTGTTCATCGATTTGCTCAAGTGGGCACCAGTAACGTCTCCATTGTGAGACTTATTACTGTTTTTGGCATATTGAATATACACGGGGAGCTTGCCAGGTTCTGCAGTGCGGGCGGGATACTCTCGGTAGCTTGCCGGGGTTTCTGAGAGGGGTGGAGGAAGTGAACCCTGGTTGGCCAGGTGCAAGGCAAACGCTCTACCCACTGTGTTATTGCTCCAGCCCTATCCCTACAACTAGAGACCAATATTGTAATGCATACAACCCAGATTTGGTAAAACAAAGACTCTTACCGAGTCTCAAACTCTCCGGATCTCCTTCCTAGGCACTTTATGAAAGCTGGAAAACCCTATATCCACCAGGACTCATTCAGAAAGGATCCAGGGGCCCAAGGACACTGCTCAACAGGCTAAACACATGAATTTGCATGCAGGAGGCCTGGGTTTCATCCCCAGAGCACAGAGCTGGGAGTAGCCCAGAGCACTGCAGTCAGTGTGTGGTCCCCAAACCAGAACAAACAAAAGAACAAAAGCGGGGTGGGGGGAATCCTGATTTTCAGGGACCAGTTTTTTCTGTCTTAGAGGGTAGCTGTGGGGACGTGCAATGAGAATCTTCCGTCCAGCACAGCCTCTCCGCCTGTGACACTAATTCAGTATCCACAGACTCCGGGGCAACTTGGTCAGAGGAGGGTCTTAACTACATGTCAGTGAAATGATTGAATGAGTGAGCAAATTAATATTCTGTAATATTTCTATTTTCCCCACATATCCAATTGGAGTCACAATTTCAGAATAGAAATTAATGATGAGAGCTTCAGAAACTAGAGGAAATATCTTCCACCCATGTTTTTGGTGCAGAGATGGCTTTATTGCTTGAATCCCTTTGGATATTATAATACGGATGGAAAGGATATAAATTTGAAAGGTCTTGATATTTAAAATGTACAGCTTCTGCAAAAGGAGGTCACAGTCAATAATAATCCCAAAAGGAGGTGGCCATTATCATCCTTTTATTTTATGAGGATGAAGTCAGAATAAAGTAAGATAAAGATAAAATTCTTCAGCAAAGGAGTACCTTATTTACATGACAAAGAAATAAGTTTAAATTCTTTTTTTTTTCCTTTTTGGGTCACACCCAGCGATGCACAAAGGTTACTGAGTGGCTCTGCACTCAGGAATCACTCCTGGCAGTGCTCAGGGGGCCATATGGGATTCTGGGAATCGAACCCGGGTCGGCTGCGTGCAAGGCAAATGCACTACCCACTGTACTATTGCTCCATCCCCAACAAAGAAATAATTTTAATTTATATAAATAAATGTTACCACCTCTTTTTTTACTAATGTACAAGATGTTGAATTTGTTCTTCATTTTACGCAGTTTTATAGCAAGCTAAAATAAAAATTCCATTTCTCTTTCAGAAAAGAAAGTAAATTAAAAGTAAAAATTATGTGACGAAGACATATGATCAAGCTGTAAACTCTAGCCTCAGTTACTTGGTTACATGCTCTTCTACTGATTTTGTCTCATGGTCAATGATAGAACAGTTAGTGGCAGGAACTGGAGAAATGGTGAGAAATTGTTTGACCAGTTACCGTTTGCAGCTCTTTACTGCCAGAACTCCCACGTTTGGAAAAGAAACAAACAAACCCACATCTCTCTCCTACAAATATCCCAGTTATCTATTTTAAATCTGGATCTGTCCCATATGAGGGCAAAGCGGAGGTCAGGCATAGGAAGGAGAGAAGGAAGGTACTCAAGGTCAAACTGGAAGGAACTTGTGGAATCTAATCCAATGACAGCAGAAACTCTGGAGATTGTTAAAATTAAGACATGAAAGGTCATCCTTGTGGGTTTGGGGAAATAATTTACTTTGTGCCTCAGGGCTCAGACAGGTTGTGAATGCAGAGTTCAAAACTGAGAAGACCTTGATAAAGTGTCTATTGTGGTATTTTTGTTTGTTTGTTTTGGGGCTACAGCGAGCAGTGCTCAGGGCTTGCTCCTGTCTCTGCACTGAGGATCACTCCTGGTGAACTTGGGGCACCATGAAAAGTACAGGGGACCAAGCCTGGGTCAGCCATTGCAAGGCAAGTACTCTACCTGCTGTACAATCTTCTGGCCCCGGGTATTTCTTTGGAAGATGGAACATGTCTTCCTTAAATTCCTAGGGCTCTATTTTTATTTCAACACATCTATTAGCTTTATTGTCCATCTCAGGTCTGATATCTTGTTTGCCTGCCCTTTCATTCTCTGGCTCTGGAATACAGCTCAGCATCTTTCTCTCATCTCAGGGGCATCCACAATAATGGGAATGTATGTCCTGACAGTGCCCAGAAACTTCACGCTTGTACACACACTTGAACAGACAGCTGTCTTGTCTCAATCCCTTGTCCCCTGAGTTGAAGTTTTGGAGTCAAACCAAATAACGGCTAGGACAAGTTTGAGACATGCAGCATGAGTTAGTCAGATTTCCTTACCTGTTCCACAGGCAGTGCATTTAGAGGGCTCATTTCCTTGGCATTCTTGGCAGGTGTAGTGGCAGGGATGGCATTCGTTCTGAAAGTTGAATGTCCCCAAAGGACAGTTGGAAATACAGCGACCAGCATCAAAAATCCTAATGAAAAAGCAGACTATGAGGGGCTGGAGCAATAGCACAGTGGGTAGGGCGTTTACCTTGCACATGGCCGCCCCAGGTTCGATTCCCAGCGTCCCATATGGTCCCCCAAGCACCGCCAGGAGTGATTTCTGAGTGCAAAGCCAGGAGTAACCCCTGAGCATTGCCGGGTGTGACTCAAAAAGCAAAAAAAAAAAAAAAAAAAAAGCAGACTATGAAAGTTTGTAAGGGTGACTTTCATTTTTTTTTTCCTTAAATTTTTTTTTCTTAAATTTTTATTAGTGAAACACCATGAGGTACAGTTGTAGACTTACAAATTTTTGTGCTTGGGTTTCAGTTATACAATGATTGAATACCCATCCCTCCACCAGTGCCCATTTTCCACCAGCACGGGTCCCAGTATCCCTTCCACCCCCCAGCCCCCCCCATCCCACCCTGCCTCTATGGCAGGGCATTCCCTTTTGTTCTCTCTCTCTTCTTTTGGGTGTTGTGGTTTGCAAAAGAGGCATTGAGTGGCAATCTCGTTTGGTCTATAATCTACTCTCATCACGCATTTTCCATCTTGAGAGGAACCTCTGAACACCCTTTATTTGGTGCTCCCTTCTCTATCTGAGCTGTCTTTTCCCCTAGCGTGTGCACTGTCCTCAAAGCTATGGAGTAATCCTCCTGGTACTTATCTCAGCTATTCTTGGGTGTTAGTCTCCTATTTTGTTACTTTATGTTCCCCAGATGAATGCAATCTTTCTATGTCTGTAAGGGTGACTTTCTTCCCACATGTGCTCCTGTATGGGAACATGTGGTGATTGTGTTTCACTATACAGGCTTGATTTTGCTGTTTCAGAAGCCAGAGGCATCTTTGAACATGTGGAATATTATTAGTCACATACGCATCCTTGGCCCAAGGTTTAGACCCAACAGCAGCCATGCCAGAAATAAGCAAGGGGGAAAAGATCCTAGCTGTGGTTCTAAATACGCTGATCAGTACTACAGGAAGTAAAGCCATATTTTAGGCCCCAACAAAACTCAGTCAACATAAATCAAGCTCTTTACATTACAGGACAGTAATTTATTATTGTTTGGTTTGGGGGCTGTACCTGATAGTGCTCATGGCTTACTCCTGGCTCTGTGCTCAGGGATCACTCATGATGGGGCTCAAGGGACCCTATGGGATGCTCAGGATCGAATTTGGGTCAATCACGTGAAAGGGAAACGCTACCCATTGTACTATAATTTCAGCTGTAGGATATTTGCAAAAGAGGCTTTTGGGCATATCCACACTTTGCAGAGGAAATGTCAGTTCCAAGGTCTACTGAAGAATAACTTCAAGTTGTCTTACAGTTTAGATGTTACTTATGAACTAGGTCTATGCAAACAACAAGCAATCAACAAACTCTTATTTTGAGTGTCATATTGTTGGCATTTTTGACATGTAGGATACCACTGTCTGTTTTCTAACCATGTTAACATATACTAAAAAGGGCACCACAGATAAATTGACCTGAGGGCTTATCACACCTTTGCTTTTATATACATGCAATGTTTGTCAGCATGTTATTGTTGACATCCCCATAAACTTTGCATTTTTACCTATTCTTCCAAAGTCTTCGCAAGAGAAAATGTGACTCAGTTATGCTCAGAAAATTTTGCTTGGAAAAATACAAAAACTTTACCAGACAGGTAACTCAATGGATGAAATTGGGTGGAACCACTTTCAAGAGTTTCTAATTTAGTATCCTTTGAGAAGAGAGAGTTGATAACGTGAATCTTTGACAAGTTTCTGGAAACATATTATGGTGATTTTTTAAAATTTTATTTTATTTTATTTTATTTTATTTTATCTTATTATCTTATTTTTCCTTTGGGGAACCTGGCAGGCCACCAAACACATCCTGCCCACACGGCAGAGTTTGGCAAACTTCCCGTGTCGTACTCAATATGCCAAATACCAGTAACAATGATGGGTCTCATTCTCCTAATCCTGAAAGAGCATTGAAATGGCTCTTTTAAAATCTCAGGGCTAGGAAGGAGACGTTACTGGTGCCTGCTTGAGGCAATTGAAGAACAACAGGATGATCGTGATTGTGATTTTATTTTTATAAAGTAGTTCATAATATTTTATTACATTTAATATTCAGACATCAATCCCACCATCATAACACCTTCCCAACACAATATTTCGGATATTTCCACCCCGAACCCAAACTCCAGCCCCAAAGTGAAACAAAATAATTCATTTTGTACTGTTTGTTATGAATAAACCTCTGAAAATAATCCAAAAAATTTCTTTAGAGGAAAGTGTGTGAAGATTGTTGTATTTCACAGGGGCCATTAAACCCATCTATAAGAATTACTAACATATTGTTAAAGGTTGAGCCTTAGTTTGCTTTTATATATATATGTATGTATATATCTGTAAAAATATATATATTTCCCCCTAAGATTGGTTGCCTTCTACTTTAAACTCTATCAAATGTAGTGCACTACTTTTGGAATATTAGTGGTGTGAGTTATGAGATATCAAGTGGCCATGAATGTGGTCGCAGAGTCCAGGAATAGGCTCCCTAATCGGTAAGGCTCAGCCCAAGCGTGTGGAGAGCAGCCATGAGTGTGGTGGCAATTGAGTCCTGGAGGTTTTCAGCGTTGGGACTGGCTCTTTGGGGTGGGGAGGGACCTCATCCGCCCCACTGCAGGTTGTCCTGAATAAAACAACCTGGCGCAGGGTCCAGCAGCATGGCTATGGTGACTGGTTTTGTGCTCTCTTCTGAGAGACTTATAGTCTCTGGGTCATGGCCATTGATGAGATTATATGGCACCAGCCAGAGGTGGCTTTTATTATGGTGGTTTAAAGGACACATATAGTCTGGGTGACCGTGGGATTTGTTCAGTGATTCTTATGAGATACAGGTTATGACAATTGGCACCTTTTAGAACTTTCTTAGATTACAGTTGTCCTTGAATAGCAGGGACTTGAACTCAGTGAGTTGAGATCAAACTTAAAATTTTTTTTTCTTTCTTGGGGCTCTGCATTCTTAGATTCAACCGACCACGGATGCTATTTAATTGAATCTTCAGCTGTGGAATCATAGTAGTGGTTGGGGGTTTGACTTGAGGGAGAGCGTGGTTGAGCTAGTGTTCTTCATCCCTGTGCCACCCAAAGTCAGCTGTGGGAAATACTTTATTAGTTGTGAGAAAATAGCACACAAGCACCCAGAGCCAGGTGAGCCCAGAATCTACAGAGAAAGGGAGGTGCTTGCTTCTTCCTTGCCACATCTTTCCAATCAGCATAAAAATCACATGAAAGGTCAGGGATTTGTTTTATTGAAGGGTGGAGGGACACTGACTTTCTTACATCCTACTTCTCAATGGCTAGACCCAGGACTCAGATGGAGACAGTTACTGCATTTTGAAGTTTGGAAATGAGAATGAGGACAAGTTTTTCTGAAGAGTATTGCTAGCACGTTGCATTTTCTTCCCACACCCTGAATGACTGTGTCATTTGTATCTGTTTGGAAAGACACAGCCTCATTGGGTTCTCAGCCTCTGGAATTCTGCTCACCATATCCAGAGTCACTGCAGACACCATCCTTTCACTGGCTGCAGAGCGTAGAGTCTTAGTCATAAGAGGACAGACTGACTTACAGATGGAGAGACACACAGACACAGACACACACAAAAACACACACACATCCCTGGTTGTTTCAAACCAAATTCCCTGCACTATGTTGCTTCCAACTCAGACTTTTAGTTAATGGCACTGATGTCAACAGGGAATATTCCTATCCCCATCCTGGCTTTGGGTTCATATCTTTCATTTGAATGGGTCTTAATTTAAAAAAGAAAAATAAAACTGAAAGTCTTTGTGTAGGAAAAGCTGCCTAAGAGTTTTCTAGTGTTTTGTTTTTATTCTTGTTTTGGGGCCACACCTGGTGACACTCAGGGCTTACTCCTGGCTCTGTGCTCTGGGATCACTACCTGTGGGGTTCAGGGATCACTACCTTAAGTGGAGCCAGAGATCTAACCCATTCCAGTCTCATGCAAAGCAAGCAACTTAGTTGATGTATTATCTTTCTGTCCCTTTCTAAAGTTCTTTTTTCTTTTATCTAAATGCAGAAGTTAATCAGTGTCCTGCCATAAAGGAGAACAGGACATGTTCATTCTTGTTTAGTTTCTTGTTAAGCTCAGTTGGAAATAGGAAAGTGTATTATCATTTTGTTCTTTGTAGCAAGGGATAACTATGGTTTGTGGGAGGAAATTATTTGTCTTGAGGAAGATGGTCTAATAATCTCAAGAGTGTGGATCATTTAATTTTTTGTTTGATTTTGATTTGTTATTGGGACACACCAGCAGTGCTCAAGGGTTACTCCTGGCTCTGCACTCAGGAATTGCACCTGATGGTGGTCAGAGAACCATATGGGATGTTGCAGTTCGAACCCAGGTCAGCTGTGTGCAAGGCAAGCATCCTACCCATTGTACTATAGCTCCAGCCCCAAGGATGTGTATCATTTAAAACTAACCAGAAAACAGAGATTTGGAGGGAAATGACAGTGTTTTACAAAGAGTAAAACATATTCATGTTTATATAGGAAAGTATGTCTTTTTAAAAAGCAATTTGTTTCAAGCATCTTGGTTTACAAACTTGTTACTAGTACAGTTTTATACATAAAACATCCTAGCAACACACCCTCCACTAGTCTTTGCTTTCCTCCATCATTGTCCCAAGTATCCCTACTTCCCTGTGATAAGTTCCTGTGGAAGAACTGCTCTGTTTCTATTGCGTTTGGGCATCTATGATTCCCTTTCTGTGTTTTACATCACACACATGACAGGAATCATTCTCCCTCTCCTTAAAACTTACTTCACTCGGGGCTGGAGAGATAGCTCAGCGGGTAGGGCATTTGTCTTGCATGCGGCCGACCCAGGTTCAATTCCCAGCATCCCTTTATGGACCTCTGAGCACCGCCAGGAGTAACTCTTGAGTGCAGAGCCAGGAGTAACCCCTGTGCATCACTGAGTGTGACCTCCCGCAAAAAAAAACTTACTTCACTCAACTGAATACTCTCTAGATTCATCCACATAGTGCAAATTGCATGATTTCAGATGCCTATTCTACTCTAGTACTTGATTTTAACAAGTACTCCGAGCCTTAAAGAAACCTACCATTTCACTTGGCACTTTTCTTCTGACACTGGCAAATCTTTTCTAGTGGGAAATAGATTCCTGTTCTGGGCTCCATGAGCTAGTTAAAATCTTTTTAAAAAGTCAACTCAAGTCATTTCTGTGCCACTATTTCTTCAATTTGTAGCTTTTGGAAACATCGAGGCACAATAATCTTTAGAGGGGAAACTTTCTCTCCAGATCATGATTGCTTTTTGTCTTCCATGGGCAATGTACTTATCCAGGTCCAAGAGACCTCAGAGAGGAGGTGGTGCGACAACCAAGTTCTAAAGAGTCAAGCAGGGATGTTCTCAACATTAACAATGAGATCTGTCCTCAACATTAACTAGTCTTTGCTTACCTTGCATTTCTGGAATAATAATAAGACATGCGTGTGTGTGTGTGTGTGTGTGTGTGTGTGAGAGAGAGAGAGAGAGAGAGAGAGAGAGAGAGAGAGAGAGAGGAAATCATAACAAAAGAGCTGACAAGTCAGTGTTGGTTGGTTGGTTTTTTCTCTATACTGATTGTTGATTTGGCCTTAGTAAGCTATCAGAAGGGCACTTAATGCAATTTCTTGGTACATTACTCTTATAACAGGGTGAAATATAGCAAAAGACTTTTAATTCCCTGTGTGCACTGAAAATTTTTGAGATGGGGGCCAGACCAGAAGCAAATTTTACATGCTTAAAATTCATTCATTGACTCTATAACTCCTGCAGGACTAACTCCTTTCAGACTGAATTTGGACAATGAGCATGGTGGCATTGCAAAGCATCCTCCTACCCCCACCCTTAAACAGTCACAGCAAAGTGTTTCCCATGACTTCCATTTTAAGTCCTCTTTAAGAAGTTTAGTCTAAGGATTTATGCAAATATAAATGTAAAACTAAAAGACAGAAATAAGACTTTTAATTGTTTGACTTCTAGTAAATGGACTTCAGGGTTAAAATATTCCAATAGAATATTTATTATAAAAATGTTAAAATATAAAATCATATATACAAATCACCACAGTATCTCCTATGTGATCATCATTCAGCTTCAACAATTATCTACACATGGCTTCAATCCCTGGCACTGCAGGTCACGGCAGCATTGCATCCTCAGGCCCTGCATTGAACCACCAGCTGATTGACCACCAGGGAGTGGGACCTCTGGGTATCCTAATCACCATTTGAGAGGTTCCTGACACCCCCTAGGATAAGGAACTACAGGAGAAACAAGGCCCATTTTTACAACACTCTCTGGAGTGATAGCACAGCGGCAGGGCGTTTGCCTTGCATGCAGCCAGCCTGGCCAAGCCAGGTTCGATTCCTCTGCCTCTCTCAGAGAGCCTGGCAAGCTACCGAGAGTATTCAGTATGCCAAACACAGTAACGAGAAGTCTCACAATGGAGACGTTACTGGGCCCGCTCGAGCAAATCGATGAACAACGGGAGGACAGTGTCTGTATCTAATAGTCTGTCTGAGGAAGTTTTCAAATACCTTCAGCTGGTTAGAGTAGCAATATTATATACTAACACAGCAAGCAAGGTTCTTGAGCCTGGCATTTTTGTATGCATGTACTTATCTATTTATGTGTTTTTAGTGTCAGAGATTGAAGACAGAGTCTCAAACATGCAAAGCAAATGCTCAACCACTGACTCAACTACATCCCCACCAAGTGTGTCCCCTTCCCTCCTTTGTCCTTTCCCCTTTATTGGCAGGACTCATTGGTGAGTCGAGCCCAGGACCTTGAGTATCTACTTTATCAGATCCCACAAAACACTCACGAATGAATGATGCCACGTGCTTATTGCTATGGAAGAATTAGGGTCTATAGTAACTGTTCCCTTTCACAGCTCCTGTTTGGGGCAATAGTTAGGTCTGGAGGTGTCTTCTGCAGAGCAAGAAATGCCCCTTTCTGCTAGAGTTGGGTTGGGCAAGGGCCCTGGAATGATCTGGGTTCAATTGTGTGATGCCGGGGGCGAGGGGGGGGTGGGTGGAGGTACTTTCAACCAATTCACTTAGTTAAGGTAGATTTCAAGGGGTAGGACGATATTGAGCAATTTTTCTCTGAAAAGGGGGTGGTGGGCTGAATAAGTCTGAGAGTCTCTGGATCTAAGGAGGAACAGGATGAAATGGCTACTGTGCAAGACAGAGAGCATTTCCATCCTTAGCACACCCCTGCCACGGGGTAGCCCCATCTCACAGGTCCAGAGAAAACCCACTTTCAAGGCATTTAGTAAAGTAGCAGTGAGAACTTTCATGCAAGCAGCCAGTCAGCCCATGGATATTTAGTCCTAGAATCAGGAGCCCTGGCTCAAAAGACAACTCCCCACTTATTTCATTAGAAATTCCCAGACTATGGGGGAAATGGGGGATGGGAGGGATACTGGGATCCGTGGTGGTGGGAAATGGGCACTGGTGGAGGAATGGATATTTGATCATTGTGTAATTGAAACACGAGCACAAAACTTTGTAAGTCTACAACTGTACCTCATGGTGTCTCACTAATAAAAATTTTTAAAAATATATGAAGAAAAAAAAAAAGCAATTCCCAGACTACCAGCTGGGATCACCCATTCAGGTTCTTGCTTAGTGCTCAGCTACCAAACACTGGGTGTTTCTATTCTCCTAGTTCATAGGTAACCAACAGATAAAGATGAGGGACCCAAGTGTCTAGCAGTCTCACGAAGAGATCAGGTTGCAGATAATGTTTTACAATATTGCAGTTTTACAATATTGCTGTAATACTGTCTTACAATCTTGTGGTCACTCTTAAGGAAATTAATAAGAGGAATCATGAAAAAGGGAGGTTAATTTCATGGTGGAGGGGTGAAAACACCTTCAGAGAAACATTTCACTGTCAGTTGTCTGAACACTTAGGAATAGATACTCCTTTTCATCTGAGCAGATGAAAATGATGGTTGATGGATGCGTGTGCAGAAAGGGATCAGATTCCAAGCAGCAAAGGTACCATCATCTTTGTAATGGAAAAGCCCCCATTGGAGACCAGAAAATTTATTCTTTTGTTTGTTTCTTTGTCTTTGTTTTGGAACCACACACCGCGGTGCTCAGGGCTTACCCCTCATTCAGGCTTACTCCTGGCTCTGTGCTCAAAAACACAGTGCCAATCCTGGCAGTGCTTGCAGGGCAGGGGTGTTGGGGATTAAATCTGGGTCATCTGCATGCAAGGTAATGCACCTTACCCGCTGTAATATTTTTCTGGCCCTAAAGAGCTAATTCCTTTTTATTTTTTGAGGCGGGGAATGATTTGGGACACAACCAGTGATACTCAGGGGTTACTCCTGGCTGTACATTCAGGAATTACTCACGATGGTGCTTGGGGATGCTTCAATTGTATGCAAGGTATGCACACTACTCACTGTACTATCACTCGGGCCCCTGGAGAATTAATTCTTGCAGTGCGAAGGAATCACATGAGGAGACATGACACAGAAATAGACTTTGGATATTAGGAAGAGCTTGATTCTTATTTCTGCAGATCACAGTGGTTATCAAAGGTGGTCAAGCCCTGTCTCACTTGGTTCTGAACCCTGTGAAACCCCCAACCCTGAGAGGTAGAAACGACTCACCTTGTCTCTGGGCACTTCGTGCAGTCCTCTGGGCCAGGCCCCCTACAAGAGGCACATGAAGCTTCACAGAGCTGGCAGCGGCCATGCGGGTCCACGTATTCTCCTAGGGAACACAATCGGATCGTTGAACTCATTGCTACAAGACGGTGCTGCCTGGCTGTGAGCCTGCGAGCAGCCAGAGCTCGGCACGTCTGCACGAAAGCTCTGAAGGCTGCAACTCGAGGAGATTTTGAGCGCTCCATTGCCAGCACTGAAATCCGGACCTTAGAACAACACAGCTTCTCTCCCCAGGGCCTCAGAAGTTGGACTCTCAGATCGTTCTGAGGCAATGACATAATTTTAGATCCAGGAAACATGTGTTATAGATTTTATGAGGCCCAGAGAAGGGAACCCCTTAGGGTCCTTTTTTTCCTGAGCTCCTACTGACTTTCCTGTGGAAACGTGCCACAGAGTTGTAGCCTTGGTTCAAGCGAGGCAATGGGTTGGGCCTGCCCACAGCCTGCCCCGCGCCTCCAGAAGGGCTATTGCATTTACTGGTGAAGAAAAGGAATTCAGTTTGGCTGATAGTTGACAGATGTGAGCTGAGTCACACCCTGCAGGAGGACCAGTGAAGAGATGCTCCGAGAATTCTTTATTTCATCGGAAAGTTTCTCTTTCCCAAGTCAAAACATATTTGAACTCTTGCCACGGATGCAAACCCATTTTCACAAACCCCTTGTGAACATTTAAGAAACTACATCCATGGCAAAGGTAGAGCAGAAAGGTCAACCTCACTAAAGAAAATAATTCAGTAATAGAATTCTACTATTGAGTTACTGAATTTAACCTGTCTATCACATCATACTTAATCTCTTGCCACTGTCCTTTATTAATCAGGTTTCTTCAGACTGATCCGAAGACCCACTTCATATGGTTTGGAACTTTCTCAGGAAGTAGCTTCAGGTTTGAGTAGAGACAACCATCACTGCTCCCACCAACCCACTCAGGAAGGACAGTCTGCCTCCTGCCTCTAGTGTCCTAGTAAATGGCAGCTAGAATTGTGGGTTATGGGCCCACGGTGGGGCGAGCGAGCTAAATGTAGCTTAATGCAAGGGTTGTGAAACTTTGGCAGCAATAAAAGGCTTCTGAATGTGCAACAACCAAAAATTAATTTAAAAAATTAAACACATAATGAATCTGAGGTTATTTCTGGCAACGCTTACTCGTGTTGTATTTTTCATGTGGAAAGAGTTATGAATGCACAGAGTTTAAGAAAGATCTGTTCTTCTACACAGGTGGGGGAAATTGTGAAATCCACAAACCTTCAACTTGTTGCAAAAATAATTCTGAAGAGGCAAGAAGAGTTTGTGTTTACATCGCAGAAGAGGACTTTCACACAGCTATCATATGAATTTGATTTCTATCTCTACTTCTCCTTATTGGTGCCACGTGCATTGTGGACAGAAATCGGATATGCTACTTTTAGAATGGAATTGTGGGTCTTAGCAAGGAGTGTCTTGGATCATGGGCCCTAAGGAGTGAGTTAGTGGCAGGAGTGAAAAGGGCAAAATGTGTAAATATCTACGTCACTGTCACCTATCCAGTCAAATGGAGGCAGGAATAGTGCCTTTGTTCATTACACTAAGCCACATGCAATGGTATAGATTGGCTGCCTTCGCTTCCATAGGAGCTATCTTTTACTAACCCACACCAAGGGTTTTAGTGGATGAGTTGAATCCTTAGTAATCATCTTAGGCAGAGAGAGACTGGGACAACTGTCTCATAGCAAAGGTGATTTTGGGTTGGAGTGCTTTATTCAATATAGACCTCATATTTATGCAGTTTTATTTATATTTATTTGGATTTCCTTCTTCCATCTCTTAATTATCATCCTTGATGGACTCTATTCCACCTGTGTTGTAGAAGGCACAACAAATTGTGTATTGTGATGATTAGTCCAGACACCAGCAAGATAGAGAGCGTAAGTTCAGGGACATTCTGGTAGTAAGTAGATTTTGTAAAAGTAGATTGTAATTATAGAGCTGAATTCTAGCTATATAGCTTTCAAGATATATGTGCTGAGTGGAATGGGAATAAAAATGTGTCATCAGATTCTTACCCCAATGACAGTGTATTCTAGGAAAATGTAGATTCATCGAAAATTAAGTGTTGTTGGTTGCTTGCTTTTTTTTTTTTTGAGTTTTGGAGCCACAACTGAAGTGCTCAGGATTTAGTCCTGTGTCTGTGCTCAGGAGTGACCTTTGGCAGTTCTTGGGAAACCATATGCTATGTTGGGGTTAGAACCAGGGTCAGGAGTAGGTAAAGCAAACACTTCATCCCTGGTACAATCTCTCTCATCCTAAGAAAGCAAAATTTATTCATTCATCCTATGTTTATTTAAAAATATCTACATGCCAGGTGTTAGCTGAAATTCAGGGTTAAAATTTTTTTATAAGACCCTGCTCTTGGGTTCTCAGAGATTTTGGGGGAAGAATGACTTATGAAGAGATAGTTATAAATATAATACAAAACTGGCCAACGTCTTCAACTCACTTGAATAGTTGGATTAAACTTTAAAACAGAAGGGCAACGATTTTGCCTGAACTCAACTAGACACAGACATCAATACTTGCCTTTTTATATCCTTATATTATGCCTATAGGAAGTGACACAGTGATTTGGTTTGCCAAAATTCTACATCTACATTAATATCCATGATATTAGATATGATGTGAGTAGAATTTTAGACTAGAAGTACCTTGGTTTGCAAAATTTAAATTGAACGTTAAGATGATGAAGAACTAGGCCAGACAAGGTTTATTCAGATATCAATGTGAAAAACTTAAAAGTTGCTGTGTCTCTTATTTACCTCTCCAGGGGCTTCCATAAACCAGTAGGTGGCACCAATACCTTGGTATCATAATTTCTTGATCAGCTCAAATATAATGGCCTGTATAGGCATTTACAACATTCCTTGTTGAATATAGTCTTCGCTAGGAATTGCACCATAGCCAATCAAGTCGAGGAGTAATGCCATATACAAGACTTAAAAGAGTCACTCCACACTCTACCTTCCCAGGTCCCAGGATGCATTCATCTGACCCGGGGATCCCACAGGTGCCTGATCACCCTAACATTGATCCATCTTGCTCCCTCAAACCTTTTTGATTGGGGCTTGGTCCAAATTTCCCAAAATCACATTCCATGTACTCTTTGCCAGGTGATTTTGCTACCTCGTCTGCTTGAAACACTATGCAATTCCCTATGCATCTTTGTTTTCCTTGTCAAAGTTCTTCTCCATCTTCTCATGATCATTCACTTCTCCTCTATCTCTGAGGAGGACCATGGCTCCTGGCCACTGTCATCTCAGGCTCTTAATCTCTCCTTAGAGTATTTCTCTACCAACCCCTCTCCTCCATATACTATGATCTCTAAATTTTTCCTTTAATCTAAAACATTCCCACATAGTTTCCTTCCTTGATAAGTGACTTAAAACTTAGTTTTCCCTCATAGCATACAGAAAGAGAGAAAAGATAGATAAAACTTCTAGCTTTGAAGCTTATGAAGAGAGTCAGTGTAGGACAGACAGCCGAACTCTGCATCTCCCCTAGTCTGGAAGCCCTTTTCTGGTTTTAGAACAGATGAGAAGAGAAAGACCTGCCCAGTTTTTATATTTATGTAGATGTCCAATTAGTTACATAAACAACTGCCCTTAGCTCTTGCAGGCACAAGTTTTCCACTGCACATTTGAAATTAAAGAAGGCAGATTCCAAGGATATAGTGAAGCTGCTTTTTTTTTTTTCTTTTAAGGGGAGGGTGGTTGTTGGAGCAGCAAATTCTTGTCATCTGTCTTTATTGCACAACGAAGCTGAATGTTTATGACAGGTCTGATACACAAAATTCTTAGGGAAAAAATCACTTGTAGCAGAGACTCGGGGGCCAATATTTTGTTCTAGTCCTCACGGCAAGCTTGTCCTTCTGGTATCATGTCCAAATCATCTTTTTTTTTCTGTTTATGCTAAAATATTTTTTCATTTTTTTCATCTTCTAATGGTTCAAAAGACACCAAGAAAGTAGAATCACATAGGGGAAACAACATCTTACAGTTGAAGAAACAGCTTAATAATTAATACTCGGACGTTTAAAAATTTACAAGCAAGTAGCATGCTCTGTTTAATCCACCTCTTGAAAATATTGCAGAATGAGTTTGTGTCAACAAATGTGAGTTGTAAATAAGCTTTATGAAATCATCCAGAATAGTCAAACATTTATTATATTATCCTGAATGGCTAAACATGTCTGAAACTCACATAATAACATTTTTCTTACAGTTACACGGCTAGAGGAACATTTTCTTCCACAAAAATTCTTTTTTTTTCCAAAAATGAAAGCATGTATTCTTTTTCTTTCCCTTGGAGGTTAGGGGACACCTGGCTCTTCTCAGGCCTTACTCCAGCTCTGCATTCAAGAGTCACTCCTGGTGGGGTTCAGGGAGCCATGTGGGCCAACATGAGCCTTACCTGCTGTGCTAGCTTTCTGATCCCAAGAATTTGTTCTGCACTTTGGAACAGATTGAATTGAGGACAGATACCTATGGTGCTTTCTCTTGAACAGAGACCATGAGAGGAGGTGGCTAGCTCACTACACCACTGCATAGTTAGAGGATGGCTTCATAATATTTCTTCATTGGTTAGAGTAAAATTAATTGTGAAGTTTAAGCAAATGAATCTATAAGTAAAGTAAATGAATAAACACAGCTAGGTGATGTGAATTCAAAACAACTTTTTAGCAAGTGTGAATATAAAGAGTAGGTGGAAAGAACATTAAAAAATATCAGGGGCTGGAGTGATAGTACAGTGGGGAGGGTGTTTGCTTTGCACACGTTTGACCTGGATTTGATTCCCAGTATCCCATAAACTCCTCCAAGCACTGCCAGGAGTAATTCCTGAGTGCAAAGCCCGGAGTAACCCTTGAGCATTGCTGGGTGTGACCCAAAAAGCCAAGCACTGTAGCACTGTCCTCCCGTTGTTCATAAATTTGCTTGAGCAAGCCCAGTAATGAATGTCTCCATTGTGAGACTTGCTGATACTGTGTTTGGCATATCAAATACATCACGGGTATCTT